TGCATTTGTTTTGGAGTCATTTTAGGTCAGACCATTAGGAAAAGCTTTTTGAGTTTATCAGTGCCTCTCAGACCACTCCACAACTGACTTGGCTTGAACTATGACTACTCAGATCTCTGAAATCCATGACTTTGGCTCTGTTAACCATTTTTTTTAAACTCTGTAATCCTTGACCTCTGCCTATCCCTATTTACTCTTGTCTGTATTGTCTTGCAGAATTTTTCCAATTGAATAGGTATCTTGCCTTAACACTAGATAGATGTTAATAATTCTTGCCTCATTACAACTATTGTGAATTAACCTGCTACAACATGGCATGAGATAAATGGTAGTTATTTTATGGCAATCGATGGAAACATCTCTGGCAAGTGGAGGAAAATGTGGTATTTTGTTTAATATCAATATATAGCTGCATTTATGAATAAGCAGAATAGAGTCATTAATCTCTGACAGGGTTTCAGTGTGCAGAAGCTTTTTGTATACAGGGCTTTCATTGCTTCAGATCTGTAATATACTGACTCCGATAGTGCTGATATAATGATTATCCTAGAGAATTATGGCTTTAAAAAGGAAACTAGATGGGAGCTAAAGAAGAAACGACAGACTAGCAGCCAAGGAGTCTCTAGTCTGAGGAAACACTAACGGCTGAAAAAGGTAACAAATGCCCAGTCCCTTTAATGCTCATTATATTTTTCCCTACTTCCTTTCACCATAGACTGCACAGTTTGCAGGGTAATGTTGGATACGTAGGGTAGCTCTTGTCAGCACTACCTACTCTTAGAGTAAGTCCATCAAGGAGAAAAGCATAGGGCAGAGAACAGTCATAATCATGTCATCCACTGCCTGTGCTGCATTGGAAGCAATGGTATTCTATGAGAATAATTTATTCAAGCTAATTGGGCAACATCCAACTTCAATAATCCAAAACTGTTTGACATTTATTAATGGAAGTAAGGACTGCAGAACTGCTATTGAAACATAGAGAGAACAATTAAATGAAATAAGCAATTAAGTAAAAACATTGAAATATAAAAATACAAGAGACTATACATATATTTTTAAATAAAAAAGGAGGTGCAACGGGACTGGAGCAATGCTCTAAGTATTTTACCAATAAGCCTATTAGTACAACACATTTGCGTCTGAGAAAATTCTACAAACATAGGTAAAAGGTGAAAGTTTTGTTTTGCGTTGGAAAAGTGAATATTTTCCTTTTTTTAGGAAGGATACCAGTTAAAAAAAAGTATTAGGCATATACATACATGTTCTAGTACACATTCGTAAAACTCGTAGACATGCTAATTTATTAAAAATTGCTGAATATGGCTCGTCTATGCATTCATAAATTAAAAAAATAACACTAATATTTTCTTTCATTTTTTCCCCCTCTCCAAATCTTTTGGAAATAAAAAAGAGTAAAATGCATGTGAATTTGTGTATTTTGCTAGAAGCACAAAACAAGACCTTTTGGCCATCTCTGCTTATGAAATAATGGCTTTGTGTGCTTTCAGCAAGAAGATTTCAAATGTTTTTCTTTGTTGATTGATTTAGAGAATTTTAAATATACATTAAATGTAGAAGTTTGCATCATACATATTTTAGGTTTTTATTATTTGTGAACTCCAATTCAGTGGCTTGGTGCAAATTATAGGCTATCAAAGAAGTCACAGCAAGGCTTCTGGAGTGATTTATTATGCTTGACCCGGGGCTTTAGTAAACAGCATTTTAGAAAGCTGCTGTATATGACCATTAGTTCTAATTTACAAGACCTTTTTGTACACATGCATGTTGGTCAGTTTCCATGGCTGTATTTCAACAACTAATATTTACCAGATATGATGGATTTTTTTGTGATGATTGCCATAAATTGCAGAAACATTCCAAACAAAATCTGTTCAAATCTGTTAGCTATGCCTTGTTTCTTTGTATGTTACTGGCAGATTTGCTATCACACCCACATTAAACAGAATGTAAACGAGGAAATGGAATAGAATAAGAAAAAAAAAAACTATACTTTGCTCATTTCATGAAACAAATGTCTAACAACATTTAGAGAAAAATAAGTTTTTTTTTGTTTTTTTTTTTGCATTAACCAAATGTTGAAAGTTCTCAATAGAAAGCAGATCTGAAGTTAGCTTATGTATTTTCATGAGCTAATAAAATGACCAGACTGACACAATCCAGCACACTCTCTTATTCACTAAACAATGATTTCAAATCTCAAAGATTGTAATAGTTTTCTTTAAAAACACCTCACCTAGGAAAAAAATAATGGGAGTTTAGTTACATTATATGATCATACATTGCATAAGCCTACCACAACGTCAATGTACCCCATTCTTGGCAGGTCCTTCTCTAGCAGCCTAATGTTTGCTCTTATGAAATTAATCCACTTACTTAGGAAATACTTCCTTACTGGGACTCTCTGCAAGTCAAGGCTAAATAGGGTCCTGGAATGTGGCACCTGTGACAGGGAGGGATGCAAAACCAAGGAGTTGGCCTGGACTCCCAAATATATAAATGAAGACTTGAAATCATTGTTTAGTGAATAAGTGAGTGTGCTGCATTGTGTATTTTGCATGTTGTATATTTTGGCCCCAGCAGCACCCTATAATGTATGTATGTTCAGGTGAGTACATCCCTCTTGGTTTAATTTATATGTTGTATATGTGATATATATTTTATATATATATATATAAAAACAAACAGTTCCTTGCACTCACGCTTTGATGGTTTCCAAATGCCAGGTGCACTCTCCCTGGACTCCCAAAAATATATAATCCAAATATAAAGTTGGCTGCACTCTGATCTTAAAAATTCTAATATTTATTGAGTATACAAAAAAATAAAAATTATCAATGTTTCAGTCCCTCCTTGGACTTTCTTCAGGATCAAAACATACAATACATATACATACAAAACTACTGAAATATATACCCCTGTACTAATGCATTAATTAATTGACTTACCCTAGCTGTTCTGCATTGCTCCCAGGGTCTCCCCTAGTGTACTGCGCATGTGTGGACGTGCTGAACCACGTGACCGTCGTAATAACATCTATCTGTATACTTCATTGTCATGGTAACGCGGTATACCGCTCGGGAACCGAGGCAACATGTAAACTATGTTTAGCGTTCACTAGTTGGTGTGCTGCACGCTCTGATAGCCATATACATCTGATATACATTCACACAATGGGCAAAGCTGCTCAGACTATGCATCTCCCCCATTATAATGTGTGGTTGAACAATGGCTAAAACTCTTGATCATGTCTACTTGCATTACACTGTCTACTGATTTGCACCCGTGTGATTTGCTGTTTGTTTTATTTGTATTAATGAGCTGGCATACATAAGTGTCCACTGACTTTAGATAAATTCCTCCAAAAGCCTGTTTTTTGGAGTTAAAACAACTGTTATCTCAGACCACAGTAATTGCAACAGTTAACAGTGAATCATTTTTATGGATGGCAGAAAAGCAATATGCTAATTTTATTCTTGCTAAAATAATCTGAAAAGCAGAAATGCAAAAAATCAATTGCTCTTCATAACAAAGTTTTCTGGCATTACAGATGCTTTTTTGGAAAAATACCAGCAGGGGTCAGTATTGTTGGGATGGAGTGCATACAAAAAAGTATAGCTTTATAACTGAATTTTTTTAGTATGATAAGTACATAGGACGTTTATTTTCAGCTTGCCCATTGTGTTCTAATAGTATACTCCACCATTTATGTTCCGTAACACTTATTGTGCAATTGTTATACCAGGACACGTTAAGCCAAGAAATCTGATTTCATGCAATTTGTCATGATGAATTGCTAAAAGGTTCAGCGCATTAAAGTACATTAAAGTGCATCATTTTAGAGAAGCTGAGTACACCCGTTATGTAAACAAACGAAGTATAGAGTGGAAAAAAAGCAGACCTGGAAAATTACACAGATAAAGCAATACACATTGTACATACTGTTCATTGACAGTGCATATATATAAAATCCCTTCAAAAATTCTGAAAAGTTGAGAGTACCTGGGGATTGTAGGGAAACATTGTCAATAAGCTAAAGCAATATGAGATAGGTCTGAATGCATTCTAGTTTTAAGTCCATAGAAACATTTATAGAACTTTAACTCCTCATACCACACATTCTTCTAATACCCCACATAAACACTTTAGAATATAAATATATACACTATTGACTAGACTAGGATATTCATTTCACTCTGAACAGCAATTTGGCTAATTTGGGCCAATCGGTTGATCAGCGGTAATTATGATTATTTACATTTTTTTGCATTGCATGTGAAAAAAATCAGGCTTACATAGCCACGACATCAGTATGAATCACCTCAAAAAACATATAGTGTCATAACATAAAGAGAAATTACACAATTTTTATAGTAATTCAAGCAAGAGTATCAAACTATAAAGATTTGTCCCACTCCTAAATAAATCAAGGCCATTCTTAGAAATGCAGATCCAGTGAGACAAGTGAGCAATAGGTAATTAATTAACATGCTGTTTGGTACTTTTCAATGAAACAAAGGCTATAATGAACTGATTAACTAAAAAGTGTTCCGCCACATAGCACTTGAGCAAAGATGGCATCTATGCCAGCATGAACACCAGTGTGTACTTTTAGACAGCCAGGTTTTTCTTAGCCCTTCATCCAATGCCCATTCTGTGGGGATACTGCTGGGCTCTGAGCAACAGGTGAGTTGCAGTTAGGCATGCACTCTGTGTAGGGAACTGGTGACGAGCTGCGTCTTAATGCCACATAGTATTCCAGAAGGGAGGTTCGCCATTTTGAGGGGTTGTAAGGATCAAAGTCTCATAATGTTGGGCCCTGGTCTTGCTCATCCTGCTATAAACTCTGCTCTATGCATCCCTGGTCTCTGCGGAGCGATAGGCCGAAGGATCTCTGCCAGTCTGGCTGAGTGCATGGAGGCTCTGAACATAGAGTAGGTCTAGGCAAGTAAGTGTGAGTCGTAGGTATAGTGGTGTGCCTTTCAGGTATAGGTTTACTCTGCTGCCTTGCCGCTAGATTTGCCCAGAATTTGTTAAAGATTAGGTCCAACCATGCCAGAGAAGCTGCAACGTGGGCCTCAGTTGTGAGACTGCCTGCAATCGCTGCCATTTTAAAAGCCACGCAGTGCCACTGAGTAATGGTAGGTGCTGGGAGTAGGTATGGGTCACCTCCTAGGACTGGAATAACCCCCACCTCATCCAAAGCGGGGGGGTGGGGAAATATCATATGTCCGCTGTAGTTAGCAGGAGTCAGCGCCTGAAGAGCGACCGTCCCTCCGACACTTGATGCACTGGTGGCTGCTAAAATTAGAAGGCTGGCAATCTGGACCAGAAAGATTTCAATACTGGTGTCTATCAGTACACCAAGGTCTGCTCTATGTAGACTGTGGAATTTTGCAGGATAGTCTGTGGCCTGACTGGATATAATTGCAAATTTTTTTGTGGAGCACAGGAGCTCGGACAGCATGCAACCTCTCAGCTAGCCAATCAATCCCCGCCCCATAAATTATGATTTTCAAAATACCAGATGCAAGAATCCTTTTGTGGCACCAGAAAAAAAGAGGGTATAATGGAGAAAAGGAGTTGTTTTTTGTTTGTTTTTGGACAAATAAGCAGTTTACCACTCAATCATGTGGGCTGTATTTATTGTCCAATCAAGAGGTGAAAAACAAAAGAGGATTGATGGTTAAGGAATAGCCAGTAAATGTTGATTTTATTCACAGAACAAGTGACAAAAAATTGAGAAGCAGTAAAACAATCTATACTTCCTATCAGGATTCCTCCAGACACTTTGGCTGCAACAATTGAATGAGACAGACAAGCAGTGATACTGTGTGGGAGATCGCCTGAGTCAGCGGAGGAACTCCTACCTGTGTGGCTGCACTGGAGCCTGCAGCTCATCAAATGGCCAATGCACTTAAGGTCACCTGGTGGGCATGTGTTCTCAGGGGCCAGGTCTTGCATTATGGCACATAAATGGCAAGACTGGACTTCTTTTTGATCTGCAGCCAGCGCTGGGAGAAAGAGAGGGCCGGTCACTTTCTCCCAGCTAACAGACATAGACCAACACAGGATGAAGAGAAAGAGGTGGAGAAGAGAAAGAACTGGGAGAGCCAGACTCTGACTCCCATCAACCCAAAATGTTGTAATCAAAAAGGTGGCTATAAAACTGCCAGCAAGTGTGTGAATGTGTGTCATTGGGTGTTACTTTCTGTCTGTGTATCTCTGTGTCAATGTTTGTGTCTGTGTATCTGTATTTGTGTCAGTGTGTGTCATTGTGTGTTTCTGTGTATCTGCATGTGTATCTGCATGTGTGTCAGTGTTTGTATCTGTGTCTGTGTATCTACATGTGTGTAAGTGTTTGCATCTGAGGGTCTGTGTATGTGCATATGTGTCAGTGTTTGGATCTGTGTTTCTATCTATTTGCAGGTGTGTCAGTGTTTGTATACAGAAAAAATACTTTATATGTAGAAGTATGGATACACGCTAAGTTACACAGCTAGAGATATCAAAAGGCAGCAAAACTTAGTTGTGATAGAAGCACTGCCTGTTCATGGATTTCCCCTCTATCCCACATGTATTTTCCCTGTATTTTCTCTTGTTATGCCCAAAAAAATACCTCATTTAGAATGTTAGCATAGAATGTTCACACCTCCCAATCATCTCACAACTTAAGTGTCAAAACCGCAAGCCACAAGGGAAACAATTAATGAGTGCTTTCCTGGGTGACTGCCATTCGTACAGTTGAACGCCACCAGGAGAAGCATTCGTGGATTGTTTCCCGACTCGTTCATATCCCGAACGAGGGCCTCCCCAGTTCCCCATTAGAACTTGCACACCAATTATTCAGAATGCTCACACCTGCAACACAGGTGTGAAATTGCAAGGGAAGTAATTAATGAGTGCTCCCCTGGGTGGCCACCATTCGTACAGACGAACACCATCCAGGGAGAGCATTCGTACCCTGAAAGGAGACGCTTCCCTTGTCTGGGTTTCACAATAGGACCCCGTGAACGGAGACTAGTTAATTGAGAGACCGAGAGGAGGATCCCTGAGATGGGTGTGAGCACTTCTGAGGCACTGGCGAGTTTGGGCGGGCGCTCATAAGCCTGAGGGACAAAGAGACCAGATTTTTCCCGCGGGCAGGCTTTTCTGTGCCTGGAAGACAGATGGATGGTCCCTTTTTCCCTTGCCTAGGGAAGAAGACCCCTACAGGTTGGTGTGAGGAACCCCGGGGATTTAATGGCGGGCTTTGGGGACAAAGGGAACGGAGTCCCTTCCCATGCTGGGACCTCGGGGAGGGGGAGGATTGTGGGATGTGTCTTGTATGTGTGTGTGATCCACTCCTTGCATGAGGTATGCATAAAAGCTGTGTGTGGCCAATAAAATTGTGTTGTACCTCCAGGACTGTGTGTCATCCGGTTACTGGGGGGAAATGGGTTCCTTTACACTCTGAGTGGCTGAAAGTAAGTAATTAGCGGAGGTAACTGGTCGAGTTACCCGTGGTCCACTACACTATTCTTTGGAGGGTACAACATAACAAAACGAAAATGTACAGGTTGCGCCAGGTACCTAATAGAAAAGAAATTAGTCCAACTGAGTATAGAAACAAAAAAGAAAGGATGAGAACTTTGAGACCTGAGCAGGGGTGTACCGAAGGGCAAGCTATTGAGTCTCTCTAAGCTTTTGCCCATTCTCAGAGTTCTCATCCATTCTTTTTTGCGCATGTTGCTGGAGCTGCTGGGGAAATCCCCTTATTTTGTCTAAAACCTGGACAGTAGCATCACACTTTTGACACAAACCTTCCTACCTTCATCGAGAGGCACCGTGGCTTGCAGTTTGCCTCATTGTGCTTGATTGTGGGTTGTATAGCCCATGTAGGGCTCCCTCTGGGACCTTCAGAAGTACTCAAGGTGGAGGAGGCAGCCAATGCTCTTCCCAGGTCTGGTCATCTTTAGATTAAGAGCCCTGCACCCCTCCTCTGGACCGGTGGGGGAACAGGCACCCTCTCGTAGCCTTTATTACAAGCGACACAGAGAAATGTAGCATTGTAGGAAGCTGAAGCCTACTGATTAAGATGGCCGCCACGACTAGACCTGCAGAGCTGGATTTCTACCCAAAGCCATCCATCTATGATGACCTGCTTCTCCAAGTCTTTGACAGGCTTTGTGCCCAATTCTCGGATAACTACCTCTACTCTAATCAGCCAAGACAATGCTTCCAGAACCCGGTTTGCGGGGCCAATGCAACATGGCATGCCATCACCCATGTGACCAACATTGGATGAATCTGAGAAAGAGGAGCAAGAGACCGCAATGACTGCCACTTAACCACCGATGCTGGGTGATGATGAAAGGAGCACTGGCACCACAGCCAACATGTGCATACAGCATGCCTACCACTCTGCCCCGCAGTCACATCTCCACACGGCACTCAGGAGGAGGAAATCTGGGCTATCAGAGGACTTACACTTGGCAAGGCCTGCAACGTGCACCATGGTGATCCGCACGATGGGTTCAAATTCATGCCTGGAGTTGTGGAGATGCCCACCCAAGCATTAGCAAACATTTAATTCCCACTATCCATAGCCTTCTATCTGCGGGTATTGGCTGAGCAGCCCTATATTAGATTTTAGGCAACTGTGATCCTTCTGCTAGTTCATTCACTGTTTGTTTCTACATGTGTTACATAGTTACATAGCTGAAAAGAGACTTGTGGCCATCAAGTTCAGCGTTCCTCACATATGTTTTTGCTGTTGATCCAAAAGAAGGCAAAAAACCCAGTCTGAAGCGCTTGATAGGATAAGATGGTTGAAGGATTAAATTTAGCGATGATGATATCACTCTTTTCCCAGCTACTTCAGAAATTAGTTAAACTCTGTGACAGAAGGAAATCAGCTATTATACAGAGGAATTACATGAGTAGAACCAAAAGAAGAGAGGAATCCATATGATACTATCTGCAGGTGAATTGTCTCAATGAATGGAAACAGTTGGAGCATCATCTCCAACCAATACCAGAAGTGACTCACCCAATGATATTATGCTTAACACCACCAGCTCCATTCCCATTACAATTTCCACTACCAATGATGCAAATCCATCCACATCTTCATCAGCCACAGCAAAGTTTGACATTACTATGAAAGTCCCAGAGAGACATGTGGACTCCCATTCCTCATCATCCCAGGGAAATATCTGCCAAACATCTCTTGTTTTGGATTTTATTCCAAAGGCATTCCATAGCAAGGGCACGTTAGAGCTGAAGTTAACAAAATCACCAGCCATATGCCCTTTCCATGCAATATACCATTCTCTCACGATTCACTTTCAGCAGAAACATAGTGCCATCACTGTACCATTCCTACTTGCTACTATTGAAGGCAATCAAAATAAAGAGGGATATAGGACACACAGAACACCCAAAGGGCACAGACAGCAGCTTCACCAATAGTCAGATGCAATGTAAAAAAAAAGTCCAGTTCCAACTGTTACGACACTCACCGCCAGGTAGATGAAGCCACAGTTTAGTGAATAATCCCCCTCTCCAGAAATGCAGTTTCTATCCAGCCGACCGCCAGACTCCCGAACGGAGTTCACGAACACGGCAACTCCCGATCAGCAAATCAGTCAAACGCCTTCCACAGCTAGAAAAAACGAAAGCGCTGTCCCAGTAATAATTCCCCCACAAACGAGACCAAGCTCCGTCTTGAGGGTCAAATAAGGATCTGTTTAATGGGGGCTACCTGCCCGGTATTTATGCAGGTCTCCACAAAGTGGACACTCCCCGAGGGGACCTTGTGGAAGACTGTAAAACATATTGGACAGTAGCCAATCGCAGTGGCTTCAATATAAGCCCTTCCCATCTTCCCCATAAACCCTTCTTCTCTACCCCGGAGATAATTAGGAAGAAACCCAATTATCTCCCAGGATAGAGACAATCGCCATTTTAAAATACAGTAAGAAAAATACATTAAAATACATAACTGAAGAAATACCGAATGAATATAGTTCGTGTAACGTATCCCCAGACAGCATGGATCTGAGTGCATATTTCTACCGAATAGCACTCAGATCCGATGTATCTAGTCGAATCGCCATGAAGTCAAAGTCTTTCACCAGTCCTTCGGTATACGAATGACTCCATGGGACGGCTATCTAGGTGAAGGTCCATACGAATGTATAAAACTCCCGAACAGACCGGCGTTCATACGTCTCGCCGAAATAGAAGGTGGGCAGCAGCTTCCAGCGGTGTTCGGTAGATTAAAGTGTCCGTTTTTAGTTCCATAGAATTTGTACCAAACACCGCTACGCTTCCTCGTGTCCCAAAATGGCCGCCGCCTCATGGTCGGCATGCGAACGACGACCACCCGTATGAATGGAATGGAGAGGTGTCTGCGGTTAACCACAACATTCTAATTGGGGTCAAGAGGTTAACCAGCAGCACACTCCTCTCCTGGGTGGTCGT